GTCGAAGGCTTTCATGGCCGGAATCACTGGGCTGTTGTAGCTATATGGCAATGGTCTAGAGGCATTCTCTCCTGACGTTTCGCCTGCATCTATGGCAAGCATCCTCAGAGGTAGTGAGGTCTGTTGGAACTAGGAAAAGGGGTTTATATATCTGTGGAATGACCATGGTGGGACAAAGGGCTCTTGTCTGCTGGAGCTAGGTGTGAATGTTTCAACTGACCACCTTGATTAGCATATAATGGCCTGACAGTGCCTAGAGCAAACTTTTGTTGAGAGGTGATTAGATGTCTTTGTTTGTTTCCTTTCTGTTGTGCTTTTGTAATTTTATAGTTTTTTAATACTGGCAGCCAGATTTTGTTCATTTTCATGGTTTCCTCCTTTCTGTTGAAATTGTCCACGTGCTTGTGGATTTCAATGGCCTCTCTGTGTAGCCTGACATGGTGGTTGTGAGAGTGGTCCATCATTTCTGTGTTCTCAAATAAAATTCTATGTCCAGGTTGGTTCCTCAGGTGATTTGCTATGGCTGACTTCTCTGGTTGAAGGAGTCTGCAGTGCCTTTCATGTTCCTTGATGCGTGTCTGGGCGCTGCGTTTGGGGGTCCCTACGTAGACTTGTCCACAGCTGCATGGTATACAATGGTAGACTCCTGCAGAGGTGAGAGGATCCCTCTTGTCCTTTGCTGAACGTAGCATTGTTTGGATTTTCTTGATGGGTCTGTAGATAGTTTGTATGTTGTGTTTCCTCATCAGCTGCCCTATACGGTCAGTGGTTCCCTTGATGTATGGCAAGAACACTTTTCCTCTGGGTGGATCTTCATCACCCGTAGCTCCATCAGACAAGAGTCCTTTGTCCCACCCTGGTCATTCCACAGATATAGAAACCCTTTTTCCTACTTCCAACAGACCTCACTCCCTCTGAGGATGCTTGCCATAGATGCAGGTGAAGCGTCAGGAGAGAATGCCTCTAGACCATGGCCATATAGCCCGAAAAAACCTACAACAACCCATTATTATTATTATTATTATTATTAATTAAATAATAAAATTATTATTATTATTAAAAATTAATAATTATTAATGGCGAGTTATGGCAATCTCACCAGAATACATGTAGTGTGTGTGGCATTAACAGGGTCACTACAGGGCCAATGAAGCGCAGGAATATGCTGTTTTCATCATTGTCGTGGAGCCCATTATCGAGTCTCCCCTCTTTCACTAATCCTTTTATACAAGGATTGCTGCCTCTTTGCTTCCAACATAACAGACTCTTAACAAGGGCAGAAATGCTCCAGAACAGAAGATCCAGCCTTTCACAGACTCACTCTTCTTCATTTTAGCCTGGCATTTTGCCACAGTGTGCTAACTGTGCCTTGCTTCATTTCTCAACTGCCACTGTGGGAATGAAGTGGGGACAAACTACGTTTTTCTGTTAGCCAACACCTCCCCCCCCCCCAAAGTTTTACCAGTCATGCAGGACATTTACAGCCGTGTTGACGCTTTGTTATGAGTCCCAAATGGTTGCGCTTGGGAAAAACATGCACTCTCTAAACAAAATGCCTCACTTCATTAAACACGGATTTGAGATGAGAATCGGTTGGTTCCATCAGTCCCTGGAAAGCTTTGCGGCCCGCTCTCATGGTAATAATTACATAACTTCTGGATTAAGCCAGACACTGTTTAATCATTAAATGCCTTCAGGTGATGGCAATGTCGTTTCAGCATTATTCTTCCTCTTTCTTCTTTCTAATTTAATGTATCATGCAATTTGCTCAGAGACAACTATCTTGTGCCTTTCCACTGTCCTGATTTTGCAGGGTCAGACTGGGGATTAATCCTCTTTCATCCCACTTTTCAGCTGCTTTTAAAATGTTTCCATTTTTTCCCCTCTCACTTTGAAATCGAGGTGGAATTTAAAAGGGTCTGGCCCTGAAGGAGAGACTATGCGGACCCACCAAAGAGGGCTCGCTACAATTTTGAGCAAAGAGAAGCCCAATTTAAAAGGTTTTTCCTAAGTTCCCAAAAGAAATCTCACCAAAGTTGAAGGAAGCGCCACCGAACAGATTTTATTGCGATTCAGCTGAAAAGGATGCAAAGCAGCAATATTTCGCCAAACTAAGCATGCATGAGTACAAATAAAAGCCATTTTTATAGAAAAACAGAGTTGTCTGGTTTGAATCTCCCTCTCCCCGCCCTCCGCCTGGCTTGAAGGTGATTGGCTGGTGCTTCAACAGCTGGGAGGAGGCTCGGCCACCTCTTGAGCGCCTGGGCCAATCACCGGGCTTCAGCCACCTCAGCGCTTCAGCGAATCAGGAGAGAGGGAGGTGGGATAAGGGAATACAATGCATTCTTGAGTGGATTATGGAAATTCATAATGTAAAGGGAGATGGTCTCTCAGTAATAAATGTGCTACCTACTGCTATCTAACATGGGAACGGTCCTTGTTGTTGTTAGTGTCTTGGCAAATTGACCAAGGCTTAACCCTTATTATCCAGTCTGGTGTCCTTGTCCTTAGCAAAACTATAAGTTCCTATCTTTTATTGGGGGGGGGGGTGTTCAGGGTGCCTCCTTCTTTATCCTCATCTTAGTTGATGTTCTAGTACCCCAATTTTTCTGCTGGTTCTCAACCTTCCTAATGCCGTGACCCCTCAATGCAGTTCCTCATGTTGTGTTGACCCCCAACCCTAACATTATTTTTTTTGCTACTTCATAACTCTAATTTTGCTACTGTTATGAATCGTCATGTAAATATCTGATATGCAGGATGTGTTTTCATTCACTGGACCGAATTTGGCACAAATACCCAATATGCCCAAATTTGGATACTGGTGGGGTTGTGGCAGGATTGATTTTGTCATTAGAGAGTTGTAGTTGCTGTGATTTATAGTTAACCTACAATCAAAGAGCATTCTGAACTCCACCAATGATGGAATTGAACCAAAGTTGGCACACAGAGCTCCCATGACCAACAGAAAATACTGGAAGGGTTTGGTGGGCATTGAGTTTTGGAGTTGTACTTCACTTACATCCAGAGAGTGCTGAGGATCTTGACCAAACTTGGCACAAGTACTCAATATGCCCAAATGTGGAATACTGGTGAAGCTTGGTGAAAATAGACCTTGACATTTGGAAGTTGTCATTGCTGGGATTTATAGTTAACCTACAAAGAGCACTCTGCACCAAACTTGGCACACTACATACACTCTGAGGAAGCTTGCCATAGATGCAGGCGAAACGTCAGGAGAAATGCCTCTAGAACATGGCCATATAGCCCAAAAAAACCCGCAAGAACTGAGTGATTCCGGCCATGAAAGCCTTCGACAATACATTCAACATTGAATACTTTTGTATTAATTTGTTTACATAAGAATTTTCAAGTTATAACTGGGTGCCACTTAGCATATATTTTGTCCTCTCTAAATTTAGTAAAAACCACAGAAGTGACTATTACATTTGATTGAATGAAATAACCCCCAAGAAGCCTGATGAAGAGAATTTATTCTTGAAACAAGGACACAAAACACCCAGGGAACCTTGTTGTGTACTCCCAAGTTTGCTGAACACAACATGAATTGTTTCCAAGTTTGATACATTCGATGTGAACTATACTCCCAAGTTTGTGGAACACAACATGAACATTTGTGGAAAACATTATGGACATATTGAAAGTTTATTCTCAAGTTTACTGAACACAATGTGAACCGTTTTCAAGTTTGATATATTCATTGATATATATGTCCTATGAAATTATTTTGTAAACCTTATATATTTTGTTTGTTTCACTATTGAGGTTTGTCCTGCATGTATTATGAAAGTTACTTAAACTTGTATCTGTACTGAAGCTCATTTCAATAGGACAATTGCATATTTACAACTCTTTTATAGATATCTGTGTTATTAGAACACTACATACATGGCCAACATTGAATACCTATGGGAGAAAAGCAGGATAAAAACAATAAATAAATAAATAATACTTAAAGCAGTGGTTCCCAACCTGTGGTTCGTGGACTGCCAGTGGTCCCCAAGAATGAAAGTATGGTCTATGGCTTCACCATTACTACACTATTGCCACATGGCAATAGTGAGTGACTGGTCTTGCAAAATCCTCTTATAGTGCCAAGGCAACGGGGATGTTGGGAGGGGAGAGCCTGACTACCCACGAAAAATTACTACTACCACATTACTCTATATAATTAAATATGATTTTCTATGGGCAAGCAGGTAGCGACTACTGGATGGCATATGTTCTGTATCAGAAACTAGAGCTAATGTGGTCTATCCAATGCAATTTTCTGAATCAGCATCCCAAATAACCAAACCAAATCTAAAGTTGATCAAAAACTGATTCATAGCCCTTTTGGTACTTGGTTGCTGTGAGTTTTCCAGGCTGCTTGGCCATGTTCCAGAAGCATTCTCTCCTGACATTTCACCCACATCTATGGCAGGCATCCTCAAAGGTTGCGAGGTCTGTCAATAACTAAGCAAGTGAGGCTTTTATATCTATGGAATGTCCAGAGTGGGAGAAAGAACTCTTGTCTGCTTGAGACAAGTGTGAATGTTGCAATTGACCACCTTGGTTAGCATTTAATGGCCTTGCAGCTTCAAAGCCTGGTGAGGATGCTGCCTGAGGGAGTCCTTTGTTGGGAGGTGTTAGTTGGTCCTGATTGGTTCTTGTCTGGAGTTCCCTTGTTTTTTGAGTGCTGCTCTTTATTCACTGTCCTGATTTTAGAGTTTTTAAAAAATATTGGTAGCCAGATTTTGTTCATTTTCATGGTTTCCTTCCTTTGGTACTAATGTTAGAGAATGGTCTCTGGTCAAAAAAAAAGGTTGTGAACTACTGACTTAAAGCAAACGTGAAGAAATGGCTATTCTTGTATATACTAGTTCACGATATAAAACAAATTATTTGCTACGAAGCATGCAGCACCATAACATGGAGATGGGCAAGGTGAGCATGCGCATATGGACCAATTTTGAATGAAACTCTTTTCTTTGACACAGCTTTCCAAGATGTCCATGTGATGATCTTTGTGGGCTTTGGCTTCCTCATGACGTTCCTTCAGCGCTATGGGTTTGGTGCGGTGGGGTTCAACTTCCTCCTTGCGGCTTTTGGGATCCAGTGGGCCCTCCTGATGCAGGGCTGGTTCCATACCTTGGAGAATGGGAAGATCCTTATTGGAGTACAAAGGTAAGCTTGTGTGCACAGAACTTTGGAAGGATGCAAATGAAGGCTTCAGGAGCAACTCGGCCTCCTATTTGAGGGACATCATCTCTCAACTAATTGCATTGGCTGAATGCTTTGCAATCCTGGAATTTGTAGTTTGGTGAGGCATCAGCATTCTGTGGCAGCCCCAAATGATCCCAAACGACAACCTCCATTACCCCATACCATTGTGCCAGGGCAGTTAAAGTGGATTAATTCTACATCATAGATGGATCCAAGGGGTTTTTCCCCCATTGCTGCAAGCTTTGGTGTGCAAACACTTTTGTTTTTAAAGAAGGAATTCTAAGCAGGGAGCAACTGTAGTGACCAAATTACAAAGAGTCCATTTTTTGCCCCTGCACATTACATTTGGCAGCAAATACTTGCTTTGGTTTCAGGGTTTTGAAAATTGTGATGCGCATTAGAATACATGGCACATTAGACTGGAGTAAATATGGTCTTATCAGCAGCAGCTGCAAACATATGTGACCGAGTCTGATCATCTTCCAGGAGGTTTTTAAAAACTGTTTTTATTATATCATATATAGAAACATACCATCTTCAAAAGTTACACTCCCCCTGAAGCCACAGGTCCGCAGTTGGGGAGTCCTCTTGGATTCATCGCTCACGCTTGAGGCTCAGGCGTCGGCAGTGTCCGGGAGGGCTTTTGCACAATTGAGACTCGTGCGCCAACTGCGACCGTACCTCGCAAAGGCTGATCTGGCCGGGGTGGTCCATGCCTTGGTCACCTCTATATTGGATTACTGTAATGCGCTCTATGTGGGGCTGCCCTTGAAAACGGCTCAGAAATTCCAACTGGTCCAATGGGCAGCAGCCAGGATGTTAACTGGGGCTCCTTACAGAGAGAGGTCAACCCTCCTGTTCAAGGAGCTCCACTGGCTGCCGTTTATTTTCCGAGCCCAATTCAAGGTGCAGGTGCTTACCTACAAAGCCCTAAACGGTTTGGGACCTGCCTACCTGCGTGACCGCATCTCTGTTTATGAACCCACGCGCTTCGCTTCGTTCATCCGGAGAGGCCCTGCTCGTGATTCCGCCTGCGTCACAAGCGCGTTTGGTGGGGACACGAGACAGGGCCTTTTCTGTGGTGGCCCCCCGACTCTGGAACACCCTCCCAAAAGATCTTAGACAGGCCCCTACATTGGCAGTCTTTAGAAAAAACTTGAAGACCTGGCTGTTCCGATGCGCTTTTCCAGAATAGGAAATCTCCAACACCAAGTCCCAGAAGCACTTTCGTAGAACTAAGATTGTTGCACACTGCACACTGCACTTGCCCTATAATCCTTAACATCACCTGTAACATCAGCACTTTTAATCCTCTACCCACTACTCTGGCCTGGTCCAGTTTTTATAGTGTTTTGATGTATTGTTTATTGCATGTCGTTATATTGCTTTAACTGTTTTTAATTTGCTTTAGGTGTTGTATTGTTGTGTTGTGTTTTGAGGCCTCGGCCTTTGTAAGCCGCATCGAGTCCTTCGGGAGATGCTAGCGGGGTACAAATAAAGATAATAATAATAATAATAAAAGCATACATGAATGTATACATTTCAGTGCTTGTAAAGTACATACAATTTATGCATAAATAAATATCTATTTTTGCATACATGAATGTATACATTTCAGTGCTTGTAAAGTACATACAATTTATGCATAAATAAATATCTATTTTTCCAATATCTCCTCATCACCACCACATGTGGGTGTGTGTTCCAGTTTTCCCACAATTATGCCAACATAGTTTTGGGCATGTTCTCGTAATATGTGCCAATTGCACAGGCGTTCTATACCATTTTGTCAGTATTTTCCATTGCATTTCCTTTAACTTTAGATGTTCTATTTTATTGATTGAGTTAATCCAATTGTCTATTTCTCTCTTACTGCAACTTAATTCCTCCTTCCAGACTTCTATCAGGGTAGATTTTGTGTTGTATTGTATTTCCGTGATTATTTTGGAGTTGAGTCTTAGCGATGGGTGTGTAAGTGGCTGTAGATGGTAGTGAGTCATTGCTTCTTTTATTGTCTTTTATGGAACTAAAATATATGCACATTTTGGCATTTCATAGAATCATAGAATCAAAGAGTTGGAAGAGACCTCATGGGCCATCCAGTCCAACCCCATTCTGCCAAGAAGCAGGAATATTGCATTCAAAGCACCCTGACAGATGGCCATCCAGCCTCTGTTTAAAAGCTTCCAAAGAAGGAGCCTCCACCACACTCCGGGGCAGAGAGTTCCACTGCTGAACGGCTCTCACAGTCAGGAAGTTCTTCCTCATGTTCAGATGGAATCTCCTCTCTTGTAGTTTGAAGCCATTGTTCTGCGTCCTAGTCTCCAAGGAAGCAGAAAACAAGCTTGCTCCCTCCTCCTCCCTGTGGCTTCCTCTCACATATTTATACATGGCTATCATATCCCCTCTCAGCCTTCTCTTCTTCAGGCTAAACATGCCCAGCTCCTTAAGCCGCTCCTCATAGGGCTTGTTCTCCAGACCTTTTATCATTTTAGTCGCTCTCCTCTGGACACATTCCAGCTTGTCAATATCTCTCTTGAATTGTGGTGCCCAGAATTGGACACAATATTCCAGGTGTGGTCTAACCAAAGCAGAATAGAGGGGTAGCATTACTTCCTAGATCTAGACACTATGCTCCTATTGATGCAGGCCAAAATCCCATTGGCTTTTTTTGCCGCCACATCACATTGTTGGTTCATGTTTAACTTGTTGTCCACGAGGACTCCAAGATCTTTTTCACACGTAAAGAGGCAAAGTAAATGTCAGGAATGCTATAACGTGGCATTGAAATTTGAAGTAAGGCGGGCCCTGTTTACACTGCCATATAATACAATGTCATAATGCAGTTAAATGCAGTAAAACTGTATTATGAAACTGCATTATATGGTAGTGTTGATGGGGCCTTAGGAAAATTATCTGCTCACTGCTTCTCCTTGGCCCCATCCACACTGCCTTTATATCCCAGGATCTGATCCCAGGTTGTCTGCTTATCCCAGATTATCTGGCAGTGGAGACTCATTTTTGTTGTTCATTCATTCAGTCGCTTCCGTCTCTTCGTGACCTCATGGACCAGCCCACACCAGAGCTCCCTGTCAGCCGTCACCACCCCCAGCTCCTTCAGAGTCAAGCTAGTCACTTCAAGGATGCTATCCATCCATCTTGCCCTTGGTTGGCCCCTCTTCCTTTTTCCTTCCTTTTCCCCCAGCATCATTGTCTTCTCCAGGCTTTCCTGTCTTCTCATGATGTGGCCAAAGTACTTCATCTTTGCCTCTACTATCCTTCCCTCCAATGAGCAGTTGGACATTATTTCCTGAAGCATGGACTTGTTGGATCTTCTCACGGTCCAAGGCACTCGCCGAATTTTCCTCCAGCATCACAGTTCAAAAGCGTCTCTCTTCCTTTGCTCAGCCTTCCTTATGGTCCACCTTTCATATCCATACGTTACTACAGGGAATACCATTGCTTTAATTATGTGGATCTTTGTTGCCAGTGTGATGTCTCTACTCTTCGCTATTTTATCAAGATTGGTCATTGCTCTCCTCTCAAGAAGTAAATGTTTTCTGATTTCCTGGCTGCAGTCTGCGTCTGCAGTAATCGTCACGCCTAGAAATACAAAGTCTGTCACTGCCGCCAGTTATAAATCAGTCCTGTTGCCATAATCTTGTTTTTTGATGTTTAGCTGCAACCCAGCTTTTGCGCTTTCTTCTTTCATCTTGGTTAGAAGGCTCCTCATCTCCTCCTTGCTTTTGGCCATCAAAGTGGTATCATCTGCATATCTAAGATGGTTAATGTTTCTTCCAGCAATTTTAACCCCAGCCTTGCATTCGTCAAGCTCCATATGCCGCATGATGTGTTCTGCATACAAGTTGAATAGGTTGGTTTTAACCTACAAAACCCTATACAGTTCGGGCCCGGTTTACCTGTCGAAATGTATCTTCCCCTATAAACCATCAATTAAATATGGTTCATGCAATTAAATCCTTCCTCATCCCAGTTTCCCCTTCACGAAGATTTTACATTGCTTATCTCCCAGTGTTTTTAATAATTTTAAACTTTTATTCTTGAATTGGCCCTGCCATTGAAACCCACAAGAAGCATGTGGACAATTTCAACAGAAAGGAAGAAACCATGAAAATGAACAAAATCTGGCTACCAGTATTAAAAAAAACATCTAAAATTGCAACAGCAAAAACAGCAGAGAGAAAAACAGGCAGGGACATCTAATCACCTCTCAACAAAAGTTTGCTCCAGGCACTGTCAGGCCATTATATGCTAATCAAGGTGGTCAGTTGAAACATTCACACCTAGCTCCAGCAGACAAGAGCCCTTTGTCCCACCCTGGTCATTCCACAGATATATAAACCCCTTTCCTAGTTCCAACAGACCTCACTACCTCTGAGGATGCTTGCCATAGATGCAGGCGAAACGTCAGGAGAGAATGCCTCTAGACCATGGCCATATGGCCCGAAAAAACCTACAACAACCCAGTGATTCCAGCCATGAAAGCCTTCGACAATACATACTTACAGAAGTAGTTCATTCCCAAAATATTCTACAATGGGATAAGTCAAAAACATAGGAGCATCATATGTGATTTTTGCCTTGCGTTGACTGTTTCTCTTTCTCTCCCTCTTCCAGCCTGATTGGTGCTGACTTCTGTGTGGCTTCCGTCTGCATTGCCTTTGGAGGCGTCTTGGGCAAAGTCAGCCCCGTTCAGCTGCTTGTCATGACGCTGTTTCAAGTCACCCTTTTCTCTGTGAATGAATACATCCTGCTGGATCTACTCCATGTAAGATTGTTCAGCTTGGTCATAAACATCCAGAAACTTCTGTCTTTTGTACAGTGTGTAATATTCAAATGGGTGTATCATTGGGTTTTTAACATATTGTAATATATTTCTGCACTTTGGACTAAAATATCCCACTGATGGAATAGCGGGTTAAACTGCTGAGCTGCTGAAGTTGCTTAACAAAAGGTCAGCGGTTAAAATTGGGATAGCGGGGTGGGCTCCCACTATTAGGCCCAGCTTACTCTATCATATTGAAATGGCAGGAACAAGGTTTGAGGAAAAGAGACAAAGAGAGTTCCAGAGGTCTCAAAAGCACGGGTTTTATTTCCAGCTGGGGCTCTGGAGTGGAGCTGTGTCCAAAAGCACCAGAGCCCCGATATAGGTGTTGACGGACTTTTTATACCCTCCAATTACAGGCAAACAAAGAACATGCTTCTACATACATTGACGTCATTCTCTATGTCACTTTAGCATCATAGGAATATCAAATTCCATCTTCTAACATACAAAAGGCATGTTTCTGTGTATTTCGTTGTAGCAGCAGCTTACAGTTTACATTCATCAATCAAGGGGCCTATTTTGACCTGTCATGAGGGAGGGGCATTGGCTCCTTTCCTAGAAGGAAGGCACTGGGCTATGTTGTACCAGTCTCTGTTGCTACTATGACAGGCTTATCTCTCTCCTGGAATGCCCCCCCCCCCCCGCTTGCTGTGCCTGGACATAGCTTGCTTGTCCTGTTAGCATTCTTTCTGATACAGAGAGAACTTGATTTTTCTATACATTTCAGTGCTTGTAAAGTACATACAATTTATACATAAATCAATATCTATATTTCCAATATATCCTCATCAATATCATACAGAGATAGTCCAGCAGCTGTAAAAGAAAGAAGAATTAGAGCAATTGAAGCATTACTTTTTGACCCACCTGTGTGTGTATGTGTGTGTATTTTTGTGTGTATTTATATGTGTGTGTGTGTGTGTGTACACACACACACACACACACATGGGCCCCCTGGTGGTGCAGTGGGTTAAACGTCTGAGCTGCTGAACTTGCTGACTGAAAGGGGTGAGCTCCCACAATTAGCCCCAGCTTCTGCCTACCTAGCAGTTCGAAAACATGCAAATGTGAGTAGATCAATAGGTACTGCTTCTGCAGGAAGGTAATAGCGCTCCATGCAGTGATGCTGGCCACATGACCTTGAAGGTGTCTATGGACAATGCTGGCTCTTTGGCTTAGAAATAGAGATGAGCACCACACCCCAGAGTCGGACACGTCTTGACTTAATGTCAGGGGGAACCTTTACTTTTACTTTTTCTCCCATTGAAGCATCCCATTTGTACCTTCCTCTGTTCTGCAATGTAGATGGGGCTGAACCTGCCCTTCCCAAAACCAAGGCATTTCAGATGTGTTGGGAGATTTATTTATTTATTTACAGTATTTATATTCCACCCTTCTCATCCCGAAGGGGACTCAGAGCATATCACAGAACACATATACAGTAAACATTCAATGACATTATACACTGACAAGAAAGACATAGGTAGTGGTATATATATATAACCTTTCCCATCTTCGGCATCTTGGAGGCTGTGCTCAGTTCCGGCCACTGGGGGGTGCTGTCGCTCCATCTTCCTTGCCAAAGAGCTTTGTTTGTAAGCTTCCTCCTTGATCGAATTGCAGACATTTTTCTGGCACTTTGAGTGGCTTAAATACCTCCCCACTTTAAAGTGGTACCTATTTATCTACTCACATTGCTGTTTTCAAAACTGCTAGGTAGGCAGAAGCTGGGTTAAACACCAGAAGCTCACCCCACTAGGGCTTTGAACTGCCAACCTTTTGATTGGCAATATTTACTGCAGCTGGCGGTTAACCTGCTGTGCTAAAGCTCAGCCCATGATAATTCCCATGATGCCCAAATGGCCTCACTAGGGTTATTCAAAACTTTTGATTGGCACCAGGTTGGAAACGTTGATTTAATAACTCTGAAAGAAGAATGTAAAGAAGACCTATCATGGATCAAACCAAAGGCTTTTCCATTCCAACATTGTGTTCCCATTTTGCCATAGGCAGGCCAGTAGGATCCTCATGCTTCTTCTAATTGCTGTTGCTGTTGTCATTTGCCTTCAATATGTTTTCAGTTTATGGTAACTCTTAAGGAAAACCTATCATGAAGTTTTCTTGGCACAAGTCATAAAGATGGTCCCAGCGGTGATCGGCACATTGGGTGCAGTGCCTAAAGACCTTGGCCAGCACTTAAAAACAAGCAGTGGTTCTCAACCTTCCTAATGGCGTGACCCCTTAATACAGTTCCTCATGTGGTGGTGACCCCCAACCATAAAATTATTTTAATTGCTACTTAATAACTGTATTTTTGCTACTGTTATGAATTGTAATGTTAATATCTGACATGCCGGATGTATTTTCATTCTCTGGACCAAATTTGTCACAAATACCTGATACGCCCAAATATGAATACTGATGGGGTTGGGAGAGAGGGATTGATTTTGTCATTTGGGAGTTGTAGTTGCTGGGATTTATAGTTTGCCTACAATCAAAGAGCATTCTGAACTCCACCAATGATGGAATTGAACCAAACTTGGCACACAGAACTCCCATGACCAACAGAAAATACTGGAAGGGTTTGGTGGGCATTGACCTTGAGTTTGGGAGTTGTAGTTCACCTACAGCCAGAGAGCACTGTGGACTCAAACAATGATGGATCTGGACCAAACTTGGCACAAATACTCAATATGCCCAAATGTGAACACTGGTGGAGTTTGGGGAAAACAGACCTTGACATTTGGGAGTTGTAGTTGCTGGATTTATAGTTGACCTACAATCAAAGAGCAACTTAAATCCCACAAATGATAGAATTGGGCCAAACTTCCCACATAGAACCCCCAGGACCAACAGAAAATATTGTGTTTTTTTATGGTGTTTGGTGACCACTCTGACACTCCCTCACAACCCCCCCCCCCCAGGGTTCCTGACCCCCAGGTTGAGAAACGCTCATCTAGTGCAGTGGTTCTCAACCTGGGGGTCGGGACCCCTGAAGGGGTCGCGAGGGGGTGTCAGAGGGGTTGCCAAAGACCATCACAAACAGTATTTTCTGTTGGTCATGGGAGTTCTGTGTGGGAAGTTTGGCCTAATTCTATCGTTGGTGGGCTTCAGAATGCTCTTTGGTAGTAGGTGAACTATAAATCCCAATAACTACAACTCCCAAATGTCGAACTTCCCCAAACTTCACCAGTGTTCACATTTGGGCATATTGAATATTCGTGCCAAGTTTAATCCAGGTCCATCATTGTTTGAGTCCACAGTGCTCTCTGGATGTAGGTGAACTACAATTCCAAAACTCAAGGTCAATACCCACCAAACCTTTCCAGTATTTTCTGTTGGTCATGGGAGTTCTGTGTGCCAAGTTTGGTTCAATTCCATTGTTGGTGGAGTTCAGAATGCTCTTTGGTAGTAGGTGAACTATAAATCCCAATAACTACAACTCCCAAATGTCGAACTTCCCCAAACTTCACCAGTGTTCACATTTGGGCATATTGAATATTCGTGCCAAGTTTAATCCAGGTCCATCATTGTTTGAGTCCACAGTGCTCTCTGGATGTAAGCGAACTACAACCCTAAAACCCAAGGTCAATGCACACCAAACCCTTCCAGTATTTTCTGTGGGTCATGGGAGTTCTGTGTGCCAAGTTTGGTTCAAGTCCATTGTTGGTGGAGTTCAGAATGCTCTTTGAATGTAGGTGAACTATAAATCCCAGCAACTACAACTCCCAAATGACAAAATCAATCCTCTCATCCCAACCCCATCAGGATTCAAATTTGGGCGTATTGGGTATTTGTGCCAAATTTGGTCCAGTGAATGAGAATACATCCTGCATATCAGATATTTACATAACGATTCATAACAGGAGCAAAATTACAATTATGAAGTAACAACGAAAATAATTTAATGGCTGGGGGTCACCACAACATGAGGAACTGTATTAAGGAGTCGCGGCATTAGGAACGTTGAGAACCACTGGTCTAGTGGGTCTGAACCCAACTTGGCTCAACTGAATTGCTGAGACGTCATCCAGCCATGCCACTGCAGCAGAATGCAAATGGGGAGTATAGCCAGCCCCGGGGCTAGGAAGAGAAGTGTCAGTCTGGACCAGACCCAGATTTGGTGACCCGTGAAGGCAGAATAATAGAACCATAAAGTAAGAAGAGATCACAAAGGCCATCTGGGGCCTCAGACCCAAAGTCCCTTTCTGTACGTGCATGGGGAAGAACTGGCCTTTGTATCCTGATTCCTCGCCCCTGGTCCCCTGCCTAGAGCCAAAATATCTCTCAGAGATAAGGATGACCTTTGCAGAATGTGGTTGCACAAGCAGGGGTGAACTTCGACCAATTGGGCAGAAAGGTTAAAGTCCAAGAGATCCTTCAAACTGTCAGATAGTCCTTATCAGTTAAAGAAATCAGATTGTATTCAGTGGTTCGATTACAAGAAACAAGCTTAAAATAGATTTGCTGAGATCTATACTAAAGGGAATTACAAGGGTTGAATGAAAAGTAATGCCTCCACCTTCGTAACTCCTCAACAGATGGCAGTACTGGTATGCGGAAGGTACTGGCTTGTTCAGTAGACTCTCCTCTACAGTTCTATTTTGGTGGTAAGCCTTAGCATTGAACCGTTGTGTTGTTAAAGTGCAAATTATGGAATCCTGTGCAGACAGTTGGTCAATGCGACTTGAGCAACGTGCAGTCATTGAATTATTGACAGCAGAAGGTCTCATCCCAAATGAGATTAATCAGAGAATACAAGCTGCTTATGGTGATTGTGTTGATGTGAGTACTGTACGTTGTTGGACAAGTAAGTTTAAAGATGTTGAGGTGACACCTTCTGCTCTCAAGAATTCAATGACTGCACGTTGCTTAAGTTGTATTGACCGACCGTCTGTGCAGGGTTGCATACTTTTCACTTTAACAACACAACCATTCAATGCTAAGGCTTCCTGCCAAAATGGAACTGTAGAGGAGAGTCTACTGAAGAAGCCAGTACCTGCCACATACCAATACTGCCATCTCTTGAGTTACGAAGGTGGAGGCATTACTTTTCATTCAATCCTTGTATATCCCTATTTGGATATCCCCAGGTTCTAGTAACGTCTATATCGGGTATGGGCAAACTTGGGCCCTCCAGGTGTTTTGGACTTCAACTCCCAGCATTCCTAACAGCCGGGAGGCTGCTAGGAATGGTGGGAGTTGAAGTCCAAAAACACCTGGAGGGCCCAAGTTTGCCCATGCCTGGTCTATATGTTTTATGTTTTATATGGTTAATTATTACATAGTCTTATATTGATGCTGTTTCGAGCCCCTTTGGGAGATGGGACAGGATATAAAGACAGCTTCTTTCAATCATCTAAGATTAGCTTTTTAGCCCATCCGGTTTTAGATGTACTAAGGTACAGCCTTCCTCAGTATTTGGTATTATAATTCTTATGACCCCTAGCCAGCAGGCCACCTTTTAAAAAATCCCTTTTATAAAGGGAATGGTTGGGCTTTAGCACATTATAATGTAATGCAATATAATACTACTACTAATAATATGATATTATAATTATATATTTATACTAGCCGTCCCCTGCCACGCGTTGCTGTGGCCCACGTGGGGCTTCTGTGCGGGAGGTTTGGCCCAATACTATCGTTTGTGGGGTTCAGAATGCTCTGTGATTGCAGGTGAACTATAAATCCCAGCAACTACAACTGCCAAATGTCAAGAATCTATTTTCCCCAAACTCCACCAGTGTTCACATTTGAGCATATTGAGTCTTCATGTAGAGTTTGGTCCAGACCCATCATTGTTTGAGTCCACAGTGATCTCTGGATGTAGGTGAACTACAACTCCAAAACCAAAGGACACTGCCCACCAAACCCTTCCAGTATTTTCTGTTGGTCATGGGAGAACTGTGTGCCAAGTTTGGTTCAATTCCATCATTGGTGGGGTTCACAATACTCTTTGACTGTAGGCGAACTATAAATCTCAGCAACTACAACTCCCAAATGACAAAATCATTTATTTTTTTTTAGTGAAGGACATAGATTGGGTTGTTAGGTGTCTTGTGTCCAAATTTTTGAGTGAAGGACATACATTGGGTTTTTAGGTGTCTTGTGGCCAACTTTGGTGTCAATTCATCCAGTGGTTTTTGAGTTCTGTTAATCCCACAATCGAACATTACATTTTTATTTATATAGATTGCATGTAATATTACTAATAATATTACAATATAATGGTACAATAGAATATAGTAATATTTAATACTGATATTGTACTATGCTAATAATATAATATATATATTGTGTGTGTGTGTGTGTGTAAATACATAAATAAATAAATGCCAGCTGCAGAAAATTGTGCTGATCGAAAGCAGCTGAAAAGTTTAGAGGATAGGAGGCTACCTGGGATAGTTTCTGTAAAATCCAGGGAGGAGGAAAGCATAGATAAAACAGCCCTCTTTAACAGCACTTCCATTGGGAACTGTCCAGAATACCTGTGGTCCTGAAATCCTCATCCATGCATTAACTAGTTGTAATGTGGACAATTTAGGGGCAGAAAAGAGTCTTTCTATGTGTTCTGGAATGCTTATCACAGCGGGTTAAACCGCCAGCTGCAGAAAATCTTGCCAATTGAAAGGTCGACAGTTCAAGCCCGGGTTGGCGTGAGCCCCCGACTGCTAGTCCAGCTTCTGCTCACCTAGCAGTTCAAAAACAACAATATGAGTGGATAAATAGGTACTGCTTTGGTAGGGAGGTGGTACAGCAGGTTAAACCATTGGGCTGCTGAACTTGCTGACTGAAAGCTTGGCAGTTCAAATCAAATGAACATGGTCATACAGCCCAGAAAATTCACAGCAACCCAGTGATTCCGGCCATGAAAGCCTTCGACAACACAATAATAGGAATAACAATACTAACTTTGTAACTTAGAAGAAACTTAGAAGAAACTAACTTTGTAACTTAGAAGAAACTTAGTGAAGGACTGCATCCCTGCATGGAGAGGGAACCTTTTTTGGAAGCTGAAACCCTTTTTTGTTTTCTATTGACACAGGTTAAAGATGCTGGTGGATCCATGACCATCCATACCTTTGGTGCTTACTTTGGGCTAACAGTGACTGCTGTTTTGTATCGACCCCATTTGGACCAGACCAAAGATAAGCAGGGTTCTCACTACCACTCAGACCTCTTCTCTATGATTGGTGAGCTTTAGCTTCTATATTCCTGCTCCCCCCCCCCAAAAAAACAGCAACAACAACAACAACAACAACAAGTGTATTAGACTTTTGTGATGTTGGTCAGGCCTAGGAAAGTTCACGTATGGACAAACCCAGGGCTGGGGGCCCTTGGGTTCTTTTCTGAGGCCCTCCTCTCTCTCACTATCCTATCCTTCCTTTCTTCTCTCTTGCCTTCCTCCCTCCCTCCCTCCCTCCCTTACCTTCCTCTTTCTCCTTCCCTCCTTCCTTCCCTTCCACCCTTTTCTCCTTCCTTCCTTCCTTCCTTCCTTCCTTCCTTCCTTCCTTCCTTCCTTCCTTCCTTCCTTCCTTCCTTCCTTCCTTCCTTTTGTCTTTCATCCTTCTCTCCATTTCCTCCATTCCACCTCTGCCCTTCCTTCCATCCATCCATCCTTCTCTTCCTCTCTCCCTTCCTTCCTTCTCTCTTTCCTTCTTGCTTCCTTCCTCCCTCCCTCTCCCTCCCTCTTTTTCCCTCCTCCTTCCTTCCCTTCCCCTTTTCCTCCTTCCTTCCTTCCTTCCTTCCTTCCTTCCTTCCTTCCTTCCTTCCTTCCTTCCTTCCTTTCTTTCCTTCCTTCCACACAGTCCTATAACCCTGAATATCAAGGTAGAAAATACCACAATATCTGCTTTGAGCTTGTTTATCTGAGTCCATACTGCTCCTTCCCTCTCTTTCCTTCTCTCTTTTTCTTCTTCCTTCCTTCCTCCTTCTTCCTCCTTCCCTTTTGTTTTTCTCCCTCCCTCCCTCCCCCTCCTCCCTCCATTCCCTTCTACCCTTCCTTCCTTCCATCCATCCATCCATCCATCCTTCTCTTCCTCTCTCCCTTCCTTCCTTCTCTTTCCTTCTTCCTTCCCTCTCTCCTTCCTTCCTTCCCCTTTTTCCTTCCTTCCTTCCTTCCTTCCTTCCTTCCTTCCTTTTGTCTTTCCTCTCTCCTTCATTCCCTTCTATCCTTCCTTCCATCTTTCTCTTCTTCTCTCCCTTCCTTCCTCCTCTTTTTCCTTCCTCCTTTCCTCCTGGGAGATGTTTAGCTGAGAGAAGAGAAGATAGAGAGGGAACCAGGGCACAAGGGAGCAATGGTTTCAAATGGCGGGGAAAGACTGAAGAGAGTAAGACTTGTTGGAGAGTGGCATAGGCTATCTTGGATTGTGGTGGAGTCTCCTTCTCAGAGGTTTTCTGTCGGAAGTATTTCGATTGTGCCTTCTTACATGGCAGGGGGTTGGACTGGATGGCCCTTGTGGGCCTCATAGAATCATAGAATCAAAAAGTTGGAAGAGACCTGATGGGCCATCCAGTCCAAGAAACAGGAATATTGCATTCAAATCACCCCTGACAGATGGCCATCCAGCCTCTGTTTAAAAGCTTCCAAAGAAGGAGCCTCCACCACACTCCGGGGCAGAGAGTTCCACTGCTGAACGGCTCTCACAGTCAGGAAGTTCTTCCTCATGTTCAGATGGAATCTCCTCTCTTGTAGTTTGAAGCCATTGTTCTGCGTCCTAGTCTCCAAGGAAGCAGAAAACAAGCTTACTCCCTCCTCCCTATGACTTCCTCTCACATATTGATACATGGCTATCATATCTCCTCTCAGCCTTCTCTTCTTCAGGCTAAACATGCCCAGCTCCTTAAGCCGCTCCTCATAGGGCATGTTCTCTAGACGTTTGATCATTTGAGTCGCCCTCCTCTGGACACATTCCAGCTTGTCAGTATCTCTCTTGAATTGTGGTGCCCAGAACTGGACACAATATTCCAGGTGTGGTCAAACCAAGGCAGAATAGAGCATGGGGAGCATGGCTTCCTTGGATCTAGACACTATGCTCCTCTTGATGCCGGCCAAAATCCCATTGGCTTTTTTTGCCGCCACATCACATTGTTGGCTCATGTTTCTCTTCCAGCTCTAGGATTCTATATCAGGAATAAGCAGTATGGAGTCTCATTGATACACATTTTCTCTCCCGTCCACCATCTCATCCTAACCAAGACCAACCGTTTTTGGATAGGATCCAAATGTTTCCTATCTTTCCTTTACTTTCTGCCTCCGAAAGAGAAGAGGAAGGGAAGGAGAGGGCAGGGAGGGGCCTGCTCGCCATGCTCCAACCTGCCACGTGGCCCCCAAGTCCCCCAAGTTAGAAGAATTTGCCCATGCCTGCTCTAGTTACCAGTGTGAGGTCTTTTTTCTCCTGTTGAAGCAACAGAGATCCCTCAGATATTTCTGGAGTGCACTTCCCATCGTTCCAAAGACGACTGGTGTCTTTCCGTACCTCCTTGTATCCTGTTGAAGAATGTTTGAGAGACCATGTGTTGCAGCAAATAAGTTCTCGCCTTCTCTTCTAGGCACGTTGTTTCTATGGATGTACTGGCCCAGCTTCAACTCAGCCATTTCCGACCATGGGGATGCCCAGCACCGAGCTGCCATCAACACTTATTGCTCCCTAGCAGCCTGCGTGCTCACCACAGTGGCCTTCTCCAGCATGTTGCAAAAGAAGGGCAAGCTGAATATGGTGAGCAAAGGCTGGTGCTCTTCGTGTTTACCACAATTTGCATAATTAATGATATTCATATGTTATTATTCTTGCAGTATGCACAAGGCAGAGTTTCATGGGACCTTAGCAGCCATTGGGAGGCATATATCAATGCTTTTGTATGGTCAGAACCCCCAGTGGCACAGTGGGTTAAACCGCTGAGTGGCTGAACTTGTCAACTGAAAGGTCCCAGGTTCAAATTCGGGAAGCAGCGCGAGCTTCTGCTGTCAGCCCCAGCTTCTGTCAACCTAGCAGTTCAAGCAATTGAGGCATTACTTTTTGACCCACCTGTGTGTGTGTGTGTGTATTTGTGTGTGTATGTATATGTGGTGGTGCAGTGGGTTAAACCTCTGAGCTGCTGAACTTGCTGACTGAAAGGGGTGTGCTCCCGCTACTAGCCCCAGCTTCTGCCTACCTAGCAGTTTGAAAACATGCAAATATGAGTAGATCAATAGGTACCGCTCCGGTGGGAAGGTAACGCCACTCCATGCAGTCATGCCAGCCACATGACCTTGGAGGTGTCTATGGACAACACCAGCTCTTCAACTTAGAAATGGAGATGAGCACCAACCCCCAGACTCAGACTAGACTTAATGTCAGGGGACAACCTTTACCTTTACTCTTATGGTAAGGATATATGTTGAGATGAGTGATAATGGAGGTGCTATTATCACAGAGAGAGAGAGAGTGCACCAACCTCCTTAAGCATCAAATGCTGGAGGTTAGCAAAGACAATAACAGCCTTCCAGAGTTCCTCCTGAGCCTCAGAGGCATCTTCTTCGAATGGAGGGTATAGTTTTGTGTGTACCATGCCATTCAGTGCCTCTTGAACCAGTTCATTGCCCTTAGTTATGATGAAATATACTATCCAATAGGAGCCACTGATGGCGCAGTGGGTTAAACCACTGAGCTGCTGAACTTGTTGGCCATAAGGTCGCAGGTTTGAATCTGTGGGACGGGGTGAGCTGCCGTTATCAGCCCCAGCTTCTGCCAATCAAGAAGTTTCAAAACATGCAAATGTGAGTAAATCAATAGGTACTTCTCCAAAAGGAAGGTAATGCAGTCATTGCTCAATTCAGTCATGCTGGCCACATGACCTTTAAGGTGTCTGTGAGTAGATCAATAGGTACTTCTCCAAAAGGAAAGTAATGCAGTCATTGCTCCATGTAGTCATGCCAGCCACATGACCTTTGAGGTGTCTATGAGTAACAATAACACCATGACGCATTAAAAACCTATGGCGGGCCAATTGTAATAATTAAAATTTTAAAAATACTGGGCATGACAAGGTGACCTATAACTAGGATAGGTATTTGAAGAGAGATGGAGCGAGCAGACAGTCCTAGATCATTAGTAAAGTGCGATTAGGGACATGTTGCTTAGGGTTTCCTTATTCTGGGAAGGCACACTGGAACAACCACGTTTTCAAGCTCCTCTTAAAGACTGCCAAAGTTGGGACATGCCTAATGTCCTTGGGGAGCAAGTTCCAGAGTCGAGGGGCCACCACCGAGAAGGCCCTGTCCCTCGTCCCCACCAATCATGCTTGCGATGGAGGTGGGATCGTGAGTAGGGCCTCTCCAGATGAATGAAGAGATCATGTGGGTTCGTACACACAGGTGCGGTCACACAGGTAGGCGGGTCCCAAACCGTTCAGGGCTTTGTAGGTAAGCACCTGCACCTTGAATTAGGACCAGAAAATGAATGGCAGCCAATGGAGCTCCTTAAACAGGAGGGTTGACCTCTCCCTGTAAGGAGCACCAGTTAACAACCTGGCCGCCGCTTGTTGAACCAGTTGAAATTTCCAGGCCGTTTTCAAGGGTAGCCCCGCGTAGAGTGCATTACAGTAATCCAATCTGGAGGTGACTAAGGCATGGACCACCCTGGCCAGATCCGCCTTCATGAGGTACGGTTACAGTTGGCGCACGAGTCTTAGTTGTGCAAAGGCCCTCATTTGCATTTATTGGCTTCTTCTGCTCACTTGGGTTGTTTAGGCTTTGACGGTGATTGGGCCCAGATCAACCCAGAGTCCTGCTTCAGCCAGTGTGACAATAGAGCAGCTACGCATTAGTAAGGGTCAGTAATGATCCAAAAATCTCACACTCTTCACCAGCTGCAAGTTTTGACAGCAATGGACAGGCCAAACAAAGGTCTCCACTGATCAGGAAGGGAAGAATGCTGCCAAAAAATAGATGTGGTGGTAAAACTTCTTCAGGACTGAAAAAACGATGTTGTTTGCACAGGTCCACATTCAAAATGCCACTCTGGCTGGCGGTGTGGCTGTAGGGACCGCTGCAGAGATGATGCTGACTCCATATGCCTCTCTCATTGTTGGCTTCATCTGCGGTATTGTGAGCACCGTTGGATTTGTTTACTTCACGGTAAGTCAACATGCAGCCCTCGTAAAGCCTCTTTCTTATTGTATTGTCGAAGTATTTCATTGCCAGAATCAATGAGTTGCTGTGAGTTTTCCAGGCTATATGGCCATGTTCAAGATGCATTCTCTCCTGACGTTTCACCCACATCTATGGCAGGCATCTTCAGGAAATGTCAGGAGAGAATGCTTCTGGAACATGGCCATACAGCCCGGAAGACTCACAGCAACCCACTCTTCCTGATTTTTGCAGACCCCAAAACCCTCGTGTGTTTAAACCAGGACTCTTCAAACTTTTTATTTATTTATTTGTTTGTTTATTTATTTATTTATTTGGTTTACTTTTACCCCGCCCTCACCCCGAAGGGGACTCAGGGCGGCTTACACATCCAAGGCACAATTCAATGCCCATAACATACAACAACAATAAAATAGAATAACGCAAATTAGCAAACAATAACAATACATTACATCTAAGCCCGCTAAAAACCAATAAAACCAATAAAATTTCATACAAACAGAGGGCCAGGTCACAATCCCTCAAACTGTTGGAGGGCCGGATTATAATTGGAAAAAAAAATGAATGAATTCCTATGCATGCTGCACGTATCTTATTTGTAGTTCCAAAACACTTTAAAACAATACAATAATTAAAATGAAGAACAATTTTAACAAATATAAACTTATTCGTATTTCAATGGGAAGTGCGGGCCTGATTTTGGCTGATGTGATAGGATTGTTGTTGTTGTTGTTGTTGTTGTGTGTTTTCAAGTCATTTCAGATGTAAACTGACCCTGAGTGAGGGCCAGGTAAATGACCTTGGATGACCATATCCAGCCCTCGGGTCTTACTTTGAGGACCTCTGGTTTAAACCATAGGAAATCATGTTCCAAGAAGTATGCCGCTTCTTTAAACGGAGGTGCAGCACCCCTTCACACCCCTTTGCTTTCCCTAGCACAGTGGTTCCAACCTGGACACAGCATATTATGTGAGAACACAGAAATGATGGACCACTCTCACAACCACCATGTCAGACTACACAGAGAAGCCACTGAAATCCACAAGAAGCATGTGGACAATGTCAACAGAAAGGAGGAAACCATGAAAATGAACAAAATGTGGCTACCAGTATTTAAAAAAACTCCAAAATCAGGGCAGTAAATCAAGAACAACACTCACACAACGGGGGAATTCCAGACAGGAAACAATCAGGACCAACTAACACCTTCCAACAAAGGATTCCCTCAGACAGGAAGCAACCATTCAATGCTAATTAAGGTGGCCAATTGCAACATTCACATTGAAACTATGCTCCTGGTGGTGTGTGCGGGTGCCCTCAAGTCAACTGCTGGTTTGTGGCGATGCCATGAATTTAAAAGGATTTCCTTAGACAAGAAATACTTTGAAATACACTCTCACAACCACCAGGTCAGACTACACAGAGAAGCCACTGAAATCCACAAGCATGTGGACAATTTCAACAGAAAGGAGGAAACCATGAAAATGAACAAAATCTGGCTACCAGGATTAAAAAAAACTCTAAAATTACAACAGCACAACAACAGAGAGGAAACAAACAAGGACGTCTAATCACCTCTCAACAAAAGATTCCCCCAGGCACTGCCAAGCCATCAAATGCTAATCAAGGCGGTCAGTTGAAACATTCACACCTAGCTCCAGCAGACAAGAGCCCTTTGTCCCACCCTGGTTATTCCACAGATAGATAAACCCTTTCCCCAAGTTCCAAAAGACCTCACTACCTCTGAGGATGCTTGCCATAGATGCAGGTGAAACGTCAGGAGAAAATGCCTCTAGAACATGGCCATATAGCCCAAAAAAACCTACAACAACCCAGTGATTCTGGCCATAAAAGCCTTCGAAAATACAAAGACATAAATGTTATTTTTTTTCTTCCTGCCAGCCTTTCTTAGAGTCCAAGTTGCGCATTCAAGATACATGTGGCATCCACAACCTACATGGCATGCCAGGGCTCATTGGGAGCATTGTGGGGGCTGTCACTGCTGCCGCTGCCACCGAAGGAGTGTATGGAAAAGAAGGGTGAGCTGTTTTGGATTTTACCTAAATGGCCTGATTGTTTGGAGAAAGATGAATGATGCAGATAGTAGTTTGCCTACCTGATTTCAAGTACAGGCAGTTCCCAAGTTACAAAAAGATAGGTTCTGTATTTTTATTCTTTAGTTGAATTTGTATGTTAGTTGGAACAGGTACATTTTAAAGCCATATATATTTATGAGAGGGTTGAATGAAAAGTAATGCCTCCACCTTAGTAATTCCTCAATAGATGGCAGTACTGGTATGCGGCAGGTACTGGCTTGTTCAGTAGATTCTCCTCTACAGTTCTGTTTTGGCAGGAAGCCTTAGCATTGAATGGTTGTGTTGTTAAAGAGCGAAGTATGGAACCCTGTGCAGACAGTCGGTCAATGCGACTTAAGCAGTACTGCCATCTGGTGAGGAGTTACGAAGGTGGAGGCATTACTTTTCATTCAACCCTTGATCTATGGCTTTTTATTCAACCCTTGTATCTATGTCTGTTTGGTTTTTTTTAAATAACCTTCAATTTATTTTAAAAAAGAAGGTGGAGGCATTACTTTTCATTCAACCCTCATAGATCGATCGATCAATCGCTAGATAAACATATGGAAAGGTTAACACCCCTGTGCTGTTAGTTTTGCTGTCTGTGCCTCTGTTCAGAAGATTTCACTTCACTTTCTGTCTCTGTGATAATTGGATTTTGACTATTTTGGCTTGTTGTGGAAACAAGAATTGATGAGAAAGCTTCAGTAGAGACACCATTTCCCCATAATAACTCTTCCAGGAGTCGATTTCCCTCCCTAGGGGTAGATTTATCTCACTTCCTGTTGTCTCACTCCCGTTCTTAACTAGGAGTAATTTGTAAGTCGGATGTTTGTAACTCAAGGACTGCCTGTATACTGTATTCCGGAAGGGCCAGGCTTTAGCACAGCTGGTTAATCACCAGCAGCAATAAGATCACACCAGTTGAAAAGATGGCAGTTTGAGGCCCAGGTAGGGGTGAGCACCTGACCTTCAGCCTAGCTCACTCTCTACCTAAGCAGTTCAAAAACAGCTGTGAGTAGAGAAATTAGGCAACGCTCAAGTGGGGAGGTATTTTACGGCACCATAAAAAGGACGCATCAGAAAATGCCGGCGATCAAAGAATGGAGGAAGTCTGTGATCAAGGGCTCTTTGTCATAGAGGATGGAGCGACAGCACCTCCTTGTGGCCAGACTCCAGCACAATCTCCAGGACGCCGAAGTTGGGAGGGAAAATAAGCTCTATTTGTTGTCTGTCCTGTCTGTCTAAAGGCATTGAATGTTTGCCGAGAATATGTTCTATGATCCACCCTGTCTCCCCTTTGGGGTGAAAAGGGCAGAATATAAATGCTATAAATCTATATATATATATATATAAATGCTCTGTGCGTAATGAGTGCCTTAAAAACAAAAGAACCAATGAACGAAATCACACCAAATTTGGCAACAAAACGTCTCACAACACAAGGAGTGACCATCACTCAAAAAATTATGATTTTGTCATTTGGGAGTTGTAGTTGCTGGGATTTATAGTTCACCTACAATCAAAGAGCATTCTGAACTCCACCAATGATGGAATTGAACCAAACTTGGCACACAGAACTCCCTTGACCAACAGAAAATACTGGAAGGGTTTGGTGGGCATTGACCTTGAGTTTTGGGAGTTGTAGTTCACCTACATCCAGAGATTACCATGGACTTAAACAATGATGGATCTGGAGCTAATTTGCCATGAATATTTCATATGCCCAAACATGAACACAGATGGAGTTTGGGGGAAATAGACCTTGACATTTGGGAGTTGTAGTTACTGGGATTTATAGTTCACCTACAATCAAAAAGTGTTCTGAACCCCACCAATGACAGAATTGGGGCAAACATCCCACATAGAACCCTCATGACCAACAGAAAATGCTTAAGGCTATCCAGTCCAACTCCCTTCACCAGGGCAAGAAAACATAATCAAAGCCCTCCTGACAGCCATCCAGCCATAGATACAGATAAATATATATGATTCACACATGCACACAGAGATATAGTATCATAGATTTGAAAGGGGACCCTAAAGAAGGACAATGATATGTTGCATATTCCAGAGTAGGCAAACCAGACACTCTCCACATCAACACTGAGAAAGAAACAGCAAGAAATACTGTTTACTCACAAGTATAAAGAAATTACATATATTAGAAACCAACACTTTCTCATTACTTTATTTCCCAGATCACCAGACTAGCCACAGCAACGTGTGGCAGGGGACAGCTAGTAAATAAATAAATCATGAAATATCTTGGATCATACTTTATCATCATGGAACGGAAGGCAACCTGACCTTCTCTCCTTCCCTTTTGCTTCCCTTCTGTTACAGGCTCATCCTTGCTTTCGACTTTACAGACGAATTTGCACATAGGACCCCGAGTGTCCAAGGCGGGTTCCAGGCAGCTGGCATGGCCGTGTCCTTGGGCATGGGCTTGGCCGGAGGGGCCGTGGTTGGTGAGTGAAGACCCTTGGTTCAACGGCACATCACCTGCACAAGACACATAGCTGGGAGAGGGAGGTGCACACAAAAAATGACAATTGTGTTATTTGCATTGTCAACAAAATACTACCACACACTTTCTAGAATTCCACAAGGCAATTGAATGTATAAGAATTAGTTATGCAATATCTTTGTTCAGCATTTTACTGCCTGTGAAATACTAAGCCCATGAATTCTGTCCCCAAGAAAGGGTTTGTGGTGTTGTGGTGTCTCATAGCCTTTGATGACACTCAAGTCCCCTTCCACATAGCCATATAACCAGAATATCAAGCCACCAGTGGTGAAGCAGGTTAAACCACTGAGCTGCTGAACTTGCTGACTGAAAGGTTGGTGGTTTGAATCCAGGGAGTGGTGTGAGCTCCCATTGTTAGCACCAGCTTCTGCCAACCTAGCAGTTCGAATGCAAATATGTGATCAATAGGTACCACTTTTGTGGGAAGGTAACTGCGCTCCTTGCAGTTATGCTAGCACATGACCTTAGAGGTGTCTACGGACCACGTTGACTCTTCAGCTTAGCAATGGAGATGAGCACCACCCCGCAGAGTTGGACCCAACTTGACTTAATGTCAAGGGGAAATATTTACCTTTACCTTTTTATCAAGCCTGATAATCCACAATATCTGCTTTGAACTGCATTATCTGAGTCCACACTGCCATATAATCCAGTTCAATGTGAGTTTCATATAGCTGTGTGGAATGGACCTAAGAGGACAAGCAATGTTTAGTTTGGAGAAGAGAAAGTTTGGGGGGGGGGGGACACATGATAGCCATGTTTATGATGCTTGGCTACTGCCATCTTGTGGCATGTTGTGGGGCTGAGGCACTGTCCCATTCCCCCCTCCCCACTACATCTCCTAATTCAATCATCAAAACTTATCTGCAAGTTAGCGTCATCATTAGCTTTCTCTTGGCACAGAACAAGGCTTTCCCAGCAATTCCTGCCCTTAACATCTTTTCAGGCAATCTGGCATCTAGGGCTGGGCAACCACGGAAAAATTTGTTTCTAAACCCGATTCGTTTTTAGGGGTTTTTTGCGTTTCGTTTTTTAAAAGAATTCCGAAATTTTTATTTAAAAAAGTTCGAAATATACGAAATTTCGTAAATTACGAAACAATTACGAAACAATTACGAATCGATTCGTTAATGGCGGACGCAATTGTGCAATATGCAAAAAAAACACCCCTCCAAATGGGAGAGGGGGAACTTCTGAAGCTTCCCTCTCCCTCTGTTGTTGACTGTTGGTGTGATAATTTATTTTTTATCACTGATAAAACAAACAACAACCCTAAAACTTGCACCAGACATACGGAAACAATTACAAAACAATTTCGAAACAATTTCGAAACAATTACGAAACAATTACAAAACAATTATGAAATAAATTGAAAAATGTGTTTCGATTTTTAATTGCTCCTGCATGGCTCAATATCGGATCGTAAGCTAATTTAAATACGAATTAATAACGAATTACGAAATTAACGAACGAAACTGCCCAGCCCTACTGGCATCCCATCCCCACAGCCACCCAACTGCTATGACGGACGAGTGAATCTTACTGGCTTTGGGGATGGGATGCCAGATTGCCTGAAAAGAGCAGGTTGTAGTATGTTCATATGATGCGTATTTAAGAAGGATGCCACCAACATGAAATATTTGGAAAGCTGTGCCTTACTGAGTGGTGGAAGAATGAAAACTTCCACTTTGTAAAAGATCACAATTCTGTGTTCTGTAGGAACGCGGGATGCTGTCGTGTTTTTGTTTTGGAACAGCTATTAGTAATGAACCTTTATTATAAAAGGGTAACAGTGAAAGTATCATAGAAACATCATACATAAACAGAGGTTGCATTTTGTTTTCTTCCTTTAAGGTGGCATTTTGAAACTACCCTTCTTCGGAGACCCCACGGATGAAAACTGCTTTGAGGATAATGTTTACTGGGAGGTATGTCCTTTAGGCAATTGGGGAGGGATTCCCATGCAATGCTGTCTTTCCAAATTATGACACATCTTCCATGACTCCTCAACAAGGGTGTGGATTAAGACTTGAGAGTGGAAAATGGCCAAGGGCCAGTTTACTGGACAGTAGGTCAGATGAACTAGAGAAGACAATTATGCTGGGGAAAGTGGAAGGCAAAAGGAAGAGGGGCCGACCAAGGGCAAGATGGATGGATGGCATCCTTGAAGTGACTGGACTGACCTTGAGGGAGCTGGGGGTGGTAACGGCTGACAGGGAGCTCTGGCGTGGGCTGGTCCATGAGGTCACGAAGAGTCGGAGACGACTGAACGAATGAACAACAAAGGTCAGATGAAACTGCACTGAAGCAGAGTCCCGCTCAGCCTAGTGTTCTTGGAAATCAGAATGATTCTCATCCCATCCTAATCTCATGCATGGTCTGTGACTCTCTTCCTGAATGGGAGGATGTTTCGACCTGGTGCCACTTGGCTGTATAACAAGTGAAGCATGAAAAATAAACCAGATTTGCCTTGTCTCGGGGCATCACAAACCATTTAGATGCATGAAGTAAAAGACAAAATGCCCCACATCCACTACCAATCTTTAATATTGGCAACACGGTGCCATCTTCCATCACACTTGAAGGTCGTCGTATTGTTTAGGCTTTTGCAGTCCAGGGAAACCTTGACCTGTTTTTTGTCCTGGCTTTAAGTGTGGGCCCTGATCTATTTTTTTGGGAGCCTCCCAAAATCGGGAAGGCAGATATCTGTTTTTGCTCTGGGCTGATGAAAGATCTGTTTTCTATCAGTCCATTGTAGGGAGGGGGCTTCCAAGGCTCCCCTTCCCATCATTTTAGACATTTAGGCTGTTTCTACTCTAGAGGAGAGGCACTCAACTGCAGGCAGGTGTGTGCTATAAGAAGACTTCTCTGACCTGTTTCTCTAGAGGAGAGGTGCTCAACTGCAAGCAGGTACATATTTTAAGGAGGCTTCTCTTACCTGTTTCTCTACTCTAGAGGAGAGGCACTCAACTTCAGGCAGGTGCAGGCATGTAGCTGGGGGGGGGATTGGGGTGAGGGGCTTCAGCCCCCCCCCCCTCCAAATTCTACCCCCCACCCCTCGCCACGCCCGGGGCCGCAACCCCCCCCGCCCCCCCCGCCTTCTCCCCCACCCCCCCCCCCCCCCCCCCCAAATTCTCATGGTGGTCTGTGAAAAGGCCTTACTGGTACATTATTTAAACTGTTATGTTTATTCATATCATGATCTGATCACCATGCTCAATATATCTCATATGCATGGGGGTATTGGGGTAACGATACAAAAGGTTTGCTAGGGTAGACCCTCTTTCACTCAGACTCAGCCCCCCAAATCAAACTCAGCCCCCCTCCCCCCGAATCAAAATCCTGGCTACCTCTTACCCATGTCTCTACTCTAGAGAAGAGATGCTCAACTGCAGGCAGGCAGGCATCAGTTTTAAGGAGGCTTCTCTTACCAGTTTCTCTACTCTAGAGGAGGGACACTCAACTTCAGGCAGGCGCATGCTTTAAGGAGGCTTCTCTTACCTGTTTCTCTCCTCTAGAGGAGAAATGCTCAACTGCAAAGCAGGTGCATACTTTAAGGAGGCTTCTCTTACCTGTGTCTCTACTCTAGAGAAGAGATGCTCAACTGCAGGCAGGCAGGCAGGCAGGCAGGCATCCGTTTTAAGGAGGCTTCTCTTACCTGTTTCCCTACTCTAGAGGAGGGGTGCTCTGCTGAAGGTAGGTGTGTGTTTTAAGGAGGCTTCTCTTACCTGTTTCTCTCCTCTAGAGGAGAAATGCTCAACTGCAAGCAGGTGCATACTTTAAGGAGGCTTCTCTTACCCATGTCTCTACTCTAGAGAAGAGATGCTCAACTGCAGGCAGGCAGGCATCAGTTTTAAGGAGGCTTCTCTTACCTGTTTCCCTACTCTAGAGGAGGGGTGCTTGGCTGAAGGTAGGCGTGTGTTTTAAGGAGGCTTCTCTTACCTGTTTCTCTCCTCTAGAGGAGAAATGCTCAACTGCAAGCAGGTGCATACTTTAAGGAGGCTTCTCTTACCCATGTCTCTACTCTAGAGAAGAGATGCTCAACTGCAGGCAGGCAGGCATCAGTTTTAAGGAGGCTTCTCTTACCAGTTTCTCTACTCTAGAGGAGGGACACTCAACTTCAGGCAGGCGCATGCTTTAAGGAGGCTTCTCTTACCTGTTTCTCTCCTCTAGAGGAGAAATGCTCAACTGCAAGCATGCACATGCATTAAGGAGGCTTCTTTTACATGTTTCTCTACTGTAGAGGAGAGGCACTCAACTACAGGCAGGCTCAGGCTTCTGTTACCTGTTTCTCTACTCTAGAGAAGAGGTGCTCAAAGGCTGGCAGGCAGGCATCTGCTTTAAGGAGGCTTCTGTTATATGTTTCTCTATTCTAGAGGAGAGGCGCTCCACTGCAGGCAAGTGCATGCATTTTCGAGGCCTGCATGCCAAGGCAAGGAAGCAAGTTCTGTTTCTTACTCTAGAGAAGGTGTCTGGCTGCAGGCAGGCACGCACACTTTCTGGGCCTGCATGCTACAAATGCACTCTTTCCAAGGCAAGGAGATTGCTCACAAAAAGCAGGTGAGAAGCCAGGATTGGCTCCCACTTGCTTTCGTGTCAAGCTGATTTTTGTACCAGGAGGGAAATAACGAAAGAACGGGTGTAATGAAGGAAAACGGATCTGCACACAACTCTAGTGTTGTCTTGGTTGTTTCTCAAAAGAAAAACTATGATTGATTATTAAAGAATAAAAATAACATAATATCTGTACTTACTTTTACCTTAAGGAGGGGAATATTTTTTAAAAAAAAACTTTCACCCAAAATATCTCAATTTCTGCTTTTCCCTTCCATAGACTGTAACTTGCTCAGACAAAATCTACTTTTACAAATGGTAGGGGAAAAGAACGATGTACGGAACAGGTTTCCTAGTGAAAAGAGGTACCTAAATATGAATTTCTCATTTAAAAACAAGGAAGAGCAAACAGTAGTTGTGCAGAAATTGGCAGGAGCCAAGGATGGCATACTCAGAAATGTGTAGCTAACTTTTCCTCCACCAGATGGTGCTGTTGTCTGTCATATGAAGCCTTCATTGCATACAGGTTTAAGTTGCCACAGAGAATATCCTGTCAACTGAAGTAACAGACATAATTACACCCAATTGCTCCTCTTGTCACCCCACTTTTCCCATTATTGACATTTTGCTATGTTTGTGAAGGTACCTGGAGATGAGGAAAGCAGCCTGTACTGTATGCACGATTCCAATGCCAAACCTGTGACTGATCACCAAGCCGCCTGAAAAATACCCAAAAGATAAAGGTGGGTCTGCATATACTCCCTGAGCAGTTCTGGAACATTTCATTTTTTTTCTGAGATTTTGGCCTGCATCAATAGGAGCCTAGTGTCTAGATCTAGGGAACTCATGCTCCCCATGCTCTATTCTGCCTTGGTCAGACCACACCAGGAAACACATTGTGTCCAATTCTGGGCACCGCAATTGAAGGGAGATGTTGACAAGCTGGAATGTGTCCAGAGGGGGGCAACTCAAATGATCAAGGGTCTGGAGAACAAGCTCTATGAGGAGCGGCTTAAAGAGCTGGGCATGTTTAGACTTGCAGAAGAGAAGGCTGAGAGGAGACATGATAAGGGCCATGTATCAATATGTGTGGGAAAGTCATAGGGAGGAGGGAGCAAGCTTGTTTTCTGCTGCCCTGGAGACTAGGATGCAATGGAAGAATGTCTTCAAACTACAAGGAAGGAGATTCCATCTGAACATTAGGAAGAACTTTCTGACTGTGAGAGCTGTTCAGCAGTGGAACTCTCTGCTCTGGAGTGTGGTGGAGGCGCCTCCTTTGAAGGCTTTGAAACTGAGGCTGGCTCAAGAGTAGAACGTGTGAAAAAGATCTTGGAGTCCTCATGGACAACAAGTTAAACATGAGCCAACAATGTGATGCAGTGGCAAAAAAAAACCCAATGGGATTTTGGCCTGCATCAAGAGGAGTATAATGTCTAGATCTAGGGAAGTCATGCTCCCCATGCTCTATTCTGCTTTGGTCAGACCACATCTGGAATCACACTGTGTCCAATTCTGGGCACCACAATTGAAGGGAGATGTTGACAAGCTGGAATGTGTCCAGAGGAGGGCAACTCAAATGATCAAGGGTCTGGGGAACAAACCCTATGAGGAGTGTCTTAAAGAGCTGGGCATGTTTAGACTTGCAAAGACAAGGCTGAGAAGAGACATGATAAGGGCCATGTATAAATATGTGAGAGGAAGCCACAGGGAGGAGGGAGCAAGCTTGTTTTCTGCTGCCCTGGAGACTAGGACACAATGGAACAATGGCTTCAAACTACAGGGAAGGAGATTCCACCTGAACATGAGGAAGAATTTCCTAACTGTGAGAGCTGTTCAGCAGTGGAACTCTCTGCCCTGGAGTGTGGTGGAGGGTTTGAAACAGAGGCTGGATGGCCATCTGTTGGGGGTGCTTTGAATGTGATCTTCCTGTTTCTTGGCAAGGGATTGGACTGGATGGCCCATGACATCTCTTCCTACGATATTATTGTATGATTCTTATGATTATAATAATTTATTTATTTACGATATTTATAGCCCACCTTTCTTAGCCATACGGCGACTCAAGGCGGGTTACAGCTTGGCACAATTTGATGTCAGGCATTCATAAAAGTGCCACTAAAAACAATCAACATTGCAATATAAAACATAAATAAAACTGTTAAAGCATACAATCATCAGTGTCATCCTGTTAAAAACGTTATCCAGTAACATCGTCTGGCCATTCCATGTTTATCATTCATAGTTCCATGTTATCTATTCCGCTGCATTCTGAAAAGCTTGCTCAAAGACCCAGGTCTTTACTTTTTTCGGAAAGTCAAGAGGGAGGGGGCTGATCTAATATCCCTGGGGGGGGGAGTTCCATAGCCAGGGGGCCACCGCTGAGAAGGACAGGGCCTTTTCAGCGGTGGCCCCCCAGCTATGGAACTCCCTCCCCAGGGATTTTAGATCAGCCCCCTCCCTCCTGACTTTCTGAAAAAAGTTAAGACCTGGCGGGATCGAGAGCAGGGCCTCCCCAGACAATCTTATATATTGGATAYAGCATATTCACAACCTCTGGGGATGCCTGCCATAGATGCAGGTGAAACGTCAGGAGAGAATGCTTCTGGAGCATGGCCAGACAGCCTGAAAAACTTATAGCAACCGAGCAAGAGCATTGATAGGTATCAATTAAGTGGGCCAGTCTAAACAAATATTTTTGTAACCTCATTTGCTGATTCTTGCATGAGACCCATCTGGAGGTCAGTTGATTATTTCGTCTCTATTTGACCCTTTGACCCCCTGGGATCAGAAAAGCTTAAACAGAGTACCAAAGTGAACTCCCAGTCAAGCAACTTTCTGGAGCCAATGTTGTTTAGTGTGAATTCATCCTGGGTCTTGGAACCCACAAAACGGAGGAATTTAACTTGTTGTCCTCGTGGACAACAAGTTAAACACGAGCCAACAATGTGATGTGGCAGCAAAAAAAGCCAATGGGATTTTGGCCTGCATCAATAGGAGCCTAGTGTCTAGGTCCAGGGAAGTCATGCTACCCATGCACTTTGGTTAGACCACACCTGGTCCAATTCTGGGCACCACAATTCAAGAGAGATATTGACAAGCTGGAATGTGTCCAGAGGAGGGCGACTAAAATGATCAAGGGTCTGGAGAACAAGCCCTATGAGGAGCGGCTTAAGGAGCTGGGCATGTTTAGCCTGAAGAAGAGAAGGCTGAGAGGAGATATGATGGCCATGTATAAATATGTGAGAGGAAGCCACAGGGAGGAGGGAGCAAGCTTGTTTTCTGCTTCCCTGGAGACTAGGACGCAATGGAGCAATGGCTTCAAACTACAAGAGAGGAGATTCCATCTGAACATGAGGAAGGACTTCCTGACTGTGAGAGCTGTTCAGCAGTGGAACTCTCTGCCCCGGAGTGTGGTGGAGGCTCCTTCTTTGGAAGCTTTTAAACAGAGGCTGGATGGCCATCTGTCAGGGGTGATTTGAATGCAATATTCCTGCTTCTTGGCAGAATGGGGTTGGACTGGACGGCCCATGAGGTCTCTTCCAACTCTTTGATTCTATGATTCTGTTGTGGTCTTGTCTCAGCTACTGACGACTCTCTTTTTCTTTTCTTCCAGAGCACTACAGAAAACCAGAGATAGAATCACTGCCCCCCATTTGGGATAACTTTGGGTGGCGTTTGGTCTCCCTTTCCATGTTCAAGTTCCTACAAAAGGAGTTGGGTGGCTTTCTGGGAAACACACCAGATCACCTCATTCACTGTTCTGAATGAAAATATGTTATTATTCATGAGATACAATGTGTTTTAAAGAGCTCTCATATCAGTTTTCGAATCTGGGAGACAGAAAATGCCTGAACTAGACCTAATCCAAAGGGAAAAAAATTCTCACCTGTTAAATGCATGAGAATAAACTGGAAAGTGTTAACACAGTCCAGTAGGCTTGGTTAATCAAAAAAAAAAAGGTTCAAAACTCTTTTCAGATGTAGGGGGTGCTGGTGGTTCAATTCTAAAGTCAATTCCAATTTTCACAGAAAAAAATGTTCAAAACTTTTCGAAACTTCTGAGACTTCCAAATCATTTCGTTAATGGTTTGAAAGTATTATTTTCTGTTTCATTGGGTGGTCTTTACTTTAAAAGTAGTTGTTTTACTCCAGAAGTGAGGAAAAGCAAGCGGAGGAAATTCCTTCCTTTTCTGGTTTAAAACTGGCTTGGCTTGAGCTGAGGCCAGGGACCAGAAGCGGGGAAAAGCAAGAGGAGGAAATTCCTTCTTTCTCTGGTTGAAAACTGGCTTCTCTGGATTGAGCCAAAGCCGGGACCAGAAGCTGGGAAAAGCATGCAGAGGAAATTCCTTCCTTTTCTGATTTAAGACTGGCTTTTCTGGCTTGAGCTGAGGCTAGGAAATTCCTTCCTTTTCTGGTTTAAAACTGGCTTCTCTGGCTTTAAAACTGGCTTTTCTAGCTTGAGTCGAGGCTAGGAAATTCCTTCCTTTTCTGGTTTAAAACTGGCTTCTCTGGCTTGAGCCAAAGCCAAGGACCAGTAGCTGGGAAAAGCATGCAGAGGAAATTCCTTCCTTTTCTGATTTAAGACTGGCTTCTCTGGCTTTAAAACTGGCTTCTCTGACTTGAGTCGAGGCCAGGAAATTCCTTCCTTCTCTGGTTTAAAACTGGCTTCTCTGGCTTGAGCCGGGTCCAGGAAATTCCTTCCTTCTCTGGTTTAAAACTGGCTTCTCTGGCTTCAGCTGAGGCCATGGACCAGAAGCGGGGAAAAGCAAGTGGAGGAAATTCCTTCCTTCTCTGCTTTAAAACTGGCTTCTCTGGCTTGAGCTGAGGCCAGGAAATTCCTTCCTTCTCTGGTTTAAAACTGGCTTCTCTTGCTTGAGCCAAGGCCAGGGACCAGAGCAGGGAAAAGCATGCGGAGGATTTTTTTTCCTTTTCTGATTTAAAACTGGCTTCTCTGGCTTTAAAACTGGCTTCTCTGGCTTGAGCTGAGGCCAGGAAATTCCTTTCTTCTCTGGTTTAAACTTCTCTGGCTTAAAACTGGCTTCTCTGGCTTGAGCCGAGGCCAGGAAATTCCTTCCTTCTCTGGTTTAAAACTGGCTTCTCTGGCTTTAGCCGAGGCCAGGGACCAGAAGCAGGAAAAAGAATTTTTTTCCTTTTCTGATTTAAAACTGGCTTCTCTGGCTTGAGCTGAGGCCAGGAAATTCCTTCCTTTTCTGGTTTAAAACTGGCTTCTCTGGCTTTAAAACTGGCTTCTCTGGCTTGAGCCAAAGCCAGGGACCAGAGCAGGGAAAAGCATGCAGAGGAATTTTTTTCCTTTTCTGATTTAAAACTGGCTTCTCTGGCTTGAGCTGAGGCCAGGAAATTCCTTCCTTTTCTGGTTTAAAACTGGCTTCTCTGGCTTGAGCCGAGGCCAGGAAATTCCTTCCTTCTCTGGTTTAAAACTGGCTTCTCTGGCTTGAGCCGAGGCCAGGGACCAGAAGTGGAGGAAATTCCTCCCTTCTCTGGTTTAAAACTGGCTTCTCTGGCTTGAGCCAAGGCCAGGGACCAGAAGCAGGGGAAAACTGAATAATTTCTGACTCACTTCATGAGTCATAACAAAAATGGCGGAAAAAGCTTTGGAAGAGCAAAGGGACTTCCAGTTTTCTTAAAAACTTCAAAATTGCTTTGAAAAGGTAATTTTTCCGACTTTATTCCGAATTATGAAGATTCCAATGGTACCTAACCATACCTACTGTCCAGAAATACCAAATGCACCCAAATGCTATTATTAGCACAATGGGAGGTTACAAACATATGTGTTCAATCTCTCCCCCTAAAATCAATGGATCTGAAAAACACTTAAGGTGGCCTAGTTCATGTCCCCAGCTTGGTTATTTAAAATATTTTCTGCAAAGGCACTATTTTGTTCTTGTGGTGTGTCCCTTTCTTCTTTCCGCACAGTCCCCGCCTTTATAATGTCTCTCTCCTCTGCTACTTTAAAGCACTTCAAGGCTGTTTGACTCCCACCTCTCCTGTAAGAGGATCTGAATGAGCTCCAAATGGCGCTAAAAGCAAACACGGCCACGAGCATTCAGTACTAATATTGTATTTAGTAGAAATGTTTTATGCCTTTGTTTTGGAGTTTATCAGTTGCAGTGGTTCCCAGATATTGCCATACGGCTAACCTCATCCCTAACCCCAGCAGCTGATGCTGATGGGAAGTATGGTTCAAAACTTGCACCTTTGTAATTCAGAAACTGGGTTTCTTTGTGCCTCTCCTGCATCACTAGCTATTAGCAAAGTTATATAATACAAAAAATAATGTAGGATTCTGGCGATTCTTCATTCCCTGTTGTATGACATGCATGGTTTGCTGATATGCTCTGTGGGTGTAAATCAGTAATTTTGCTTATTTGGATGCGGTAGATGCCGGATAAAAACAGAAGCTTAGCAGAAGCAGGCTGGTTTGTTATGAACCCCCCGGATCCCTCTTACAGAGATTAGTGCCCCCATCCTGGGGCCTCCATTTAGACCAATCCTTCCTGAATCTGTAAATGTTGTAAATAAACAGGTTTTCACAAAAAATGGAACAAAGTCTTCTGTGTTTTATCTCCGAAGGAAGCGGAGCTCATGACTACACCTTACCTAATGGGTAATTGGGGGAAGGAACAATATCTAGATAGAGATTGGGTTTCTTGTTCATTATTTTTCCTGAGCCATCATTCATATTTATATCTCTCTATCTCTATCTCTATCTCTATCTCTATCTCTATCTCTATCTCTATCTCTATCTCTATCTCTCAATATCAATATCAATATCAATATCTATATCTATATCTATATCTATATCTATATCTATATCTATATCTATATCTATATCTATATCTATATCTATATCTATATCTATATCAATATCAATATCAATATCAATATCAATATCAATATCAATATCAATAAAAATGTAATGTTCGTTTGTGGGATTAACAAAACTCAAAAACCACTGGACGAATTGACACCAAATTTGGACACAAGACGCCTAACAACCCAATGTATGTCCTTCACTAAAAAAAAAATGATCTTGTCATTTGAGAGTTGTAGTTGCTGGGATTTATAGTTCACCTACAATCAAAGAGCATTCTGAGCCCCACCAAAGATGGAATTGAACCAACCTTATCACACAGTTCTCCCATGACTAACAGAAAATACTGGAAGGGTTTGGTGGGCAGTGTCCTTTGGTTTTGGAGTTGTAGTTCACCTACATAAAGAGATCACTGTGCACTCAAACAACGATGGATCTGGACCAAACTCTACACAAATACTCAATATGCCCAAATGTGAACACTGGTGGAGTTTGGGGGAAATAGATTCTTGACATTTGGGAGTTGTAGTTGCTGGGATTTATAGTTCACCTACAATCACAGAGCATTCTGAACCCCATCAACAATAGAATTGGGCTAAATCTCCCACATAGAACCCCCATGTGGGCCACAGCAACGCATGGCAGGGGACATCTAGTATGTGTGTTTGTGTGTGTATATACATACATACACACACACATACACACACACACAAGATAAAGGTTTCCCCTGACATTAAGTCTGGCGGTTGGTGCTCAACTCCATTTCTAAGCTGAAGAGACAGTGTTGACCATAGACACCTCCAAGGATATGTGGTCAGCATGACTGCATGGAGCACCGTTACTTTCCCACAGAAGTGGTTCGTATTGATCAACTTACATTTGCATGTTTTCGAACAGCTAGGTAGGCAGAAGCTGGGGCTAACAGTGAGAGCTCACTCCTTTCGGTCAGCAAGTTCAGCAACTCAGCAGTTTAACCCACTGTTCCACCAGGGGGCCTGTGTGTGTGTGTGTGTGTGTGTGTGTAGATGCATATACGTACACACACAGACACACAAATACACACACACACAGAGGTGGGTCAAAAATAATGCCTCCATCACTAATTTTCCTTTCTTTCACAGCTGCTGGACTATCTATGCAGGATATGATAGAGGTAACCGTACTCTACTGATAGAGTCTTTTATTGTTCAGATTGATTGATTAGGACCATGAACCTGAAGCTAAAAAAAAAGAGTTGTCATTGAATTTCTGGCAAAACAAGGTTGTGCACATAAGGAAATCCATAATTGCTTGAAGAATGTTTATGATTTGCCCCCTTCTGACTTGTATCTGTTTTGATCTCTGAAAGATAACCTACGTGGTTTCAGATTCAATGACTTCAATGACGCCAAAACTGCTTTAAAATCATGGGTCACAAAGCAAAACCCTGAATTTTTCCAAAATGGGTTGTTGTAGGTTTTTCCGGGCTATATGGCCATGTTCTGGAGGTAATTTTTCTCCTGACGTTTTGCCTGCATCTATGGCAAGCATCCTCAGAGGTAGTGAGGTCTGTTCGACAATACATTTTCCAAAATGGTTTTGATGCCTGGGTTAAATGATGGCGCATATGTGCACACATTGTACAGAGGACAGTTCAGGCTAGGATCTGGAGCTACTTCTGCTGTTATATGTTCATTCACAACTTTTTTATGACACAGGAGGCAAAACTTTTTGACCTCTGTGTGTGTGTGTATGTGTGTAATAATCATGTGCATTTGGGGTAAACCTTGATTCGTTTCGTGTCCCAGCTTTCAGTGGGGCCTCCAATCCGCTTCTACTAAGTCTCCCAAAACCGGGAGGGCAGATATTTGTTTTTGGTTTTCAGGTGCCAAAATATTCATTTTATTTTGGCCCATTTTTGGGTGGAAGGGGGCTTCCCACCCAGGCTCCCCTTCCCACCATGCACTTTTGGACAGGATTTGCCTCACCTTCATCTGGGGAGTAAAGGGGCTCCCTGGCTGGGGCTGAAGACCCATCGTGTTTGCTGCCGGTGGCCTTGCTCTTCAACCCAAAGTGCAGGCCCAAAGTGCCAGGGCTGCCCTCGAGCACTGAGTAAGCAACACTTCCTACTTGGCACTCAGCTGCAGGCCCTGGTTGGCCCAGGTGCTTTGCGTCTATGGGTGCAGCAATCGATACGAAAAGCAGGCTTGGAGCCGGTACCCAATCGCACCTGCCTTTTGTGCCGAGTATATTTTCATTCCAGGAGGGGACTTCCCATTCTGAGCTATCCAAATGGATGGAACGAAACGAAAACACAAAGCAAATGAATGATATAGATGCCAGGCCCATGATTAGTGTGTGTGTGTGTGTGTGTGATAGAGAGAGAGA